AGAGAGAGAAACATCTACTGGCTGCCTCCCCTACGGCCCCACCAGGAATGAACCCTCAACTTAGGTATGTGCCCCAACTGGGAATTGAACCCAGTATATGGGGCAATGCTCCAGTCAACTGAGCCACCTGGCCAGGGCTGTTGCTTTCAGTTTTTTACCCCACATATGAGGAAATCATATGGTTCTTGACTTTTTCTGATTTATTTCACTTAGCATGATATTCTCAAGATCCATCCATATCATCCCAAATGGCGGTATTTTCTTAACCTTGTCACTTTTGAGATTTTGGACTGGACAGTTTTATTGGGGTGGGGTGCTTCCTGTGCATTGTAGATGTTTAGCAGCATTTGTGGCCTCCACGCACTAGATGCACAGGCACTAGTAGCCATTCACACGTTCCCATCTAGTCATGGCAGTAAGAATGTTTCAGGCACTGCCCAGTGTCCCCATTGGGCAAAATCGCCCGTTAAGAGCCACTGCCCTAGAATATTTTGCATCCGTTATTAAGGACAGAAAAGAATACAGGTTTGCAAAATGTTCGCAGTGGGAAAATATGCATACTATAATCTTATTTTTGTAAAAAAAAACAAATGCACACACATCAAAAAAAAATTTTTTTTTAAGCACTTTTTTTTTTTAATATATGTTTATTGATTTTAGAGAGAGGAAAGGGGAAGGAGAGAGAGAGATAGAGACATCAATGATGAGAGAGTCATTGATCGGCTGCCTAGCCCGCAACCCGGGCATGTGCCCTGACCGGGAATCGAACCCTGATCGCCTGGATCCTAGGTCGATGCTCAACCGCTGAGCCACACCCGGCTGGGTGAAAAAAAATTTTAATAACATAAAATACAGTGAGTATCTTATCTGAGATAAAGTGTGATTTGGGGTTTTATTTCCTTTGTGTTTTTCTTGCATGTATTACTTTTTTAATCAGAACGATAACGTACTCTATGTCATATTCAGTCACTTACGTGGAAGATGCACTACTGGCCTAGTCATCTCTGGCTGCTATAACAAAAATAGCATAGGCGCATTAAACGACATCTATTTCTCACAGTCCTGGAGGCCGGGGAGGCCAGGATCAAGGGGCCTGCAGATTCACTGTCTGGTGAGAGCTGCTTCCTGGTTCACAGATGGCCATCTCCTCACTGCATCCTCACGTGTTGGAAGGGGCAAGGGAGCTCTCTGGGCCATGTGGTACAGGGACAGGGCCACTAATCCCAGTCATGAGTTAACCTGCATGGCTTACGAACCTCCCAGAGGCCCACCTCCAAATACCATCACATTGGGGTAAGGATTCCAACATATGAATTTGGGGAGGACACTAACGTTCAGTTCATAACATATAATAATTTCTACTCATAGGAAAACATTTAAAATTTTAATTTAAAATATTATTCACAGCATTATTCCTGAAAGGCTTAAGTAAAATATGATATATGTGAACTGAATTTTTATTGCTGTCCATGGAACTGGAATAAAGCATGTGCCTAATATAATACAGATATTGCGTAACCATCAGTATAAGGATGGTTATAAACATGAAGTACTGTTTTGGAGAACTAGATTGTTCTACTTTCTGCTTGTTACGTTACTTATCAAAAAAGCTAGCTTATTCCCAGAGGGGAGGTTATAACTAGGACACCACACAGTGGATACAATAGAGTGAAGAGGACTTGAGTTCCTTTAGTCACATGTTGCTGACTGGCCTAAAGAGGCATAATGTGTCTCAGTTATTTCTATCTTCTTAGAACTTTGTTTTATTTTAAAATAATAAGCTATTAGCTGGCAATCTCAGCTGCCTTTTTTCTTCTCACAATGACACAAATGAAAGGGAGCTTCATACACATCTCAGGAACATCTCCAGACTTACACATACTTCCCAGCTCCCCGTCTACGACCCTGCCTTGTTCCCCCCAATCAAGTAAAAATCAGAATGCAGATAGATTTAGAGTATAGGGATAATAGAATGGATTAGAAATAAGGAATATAGAAACTAAATTATTTGCAAACATTGTTAACTTATTAAACATATTCTATAGATCATTTATTCAGCTGATATTGAGTGCGTTCTACATAGCAGGCAACGTATTCAGCACAGAGCTTACAGTCTCGTGGCAGTGGCACACATTAATCAAGTTCTCATACACAAATATGTAACATTCAAACTATGATAAATGCGGTAATAGAGAGGTACATGTTGCTGCGAGAGCATATAACTGGGGTACCTAGTTTAGGTTAGGGAGTCAGAGAAGGCTTTCCTGAAGTAGTGTCTTTGTCATTTTGGAGCTCATAAGAGAGTCCAGGGCTGGAGTTTTAAATCTGAAAGTCATTTGTGTACAGGTGTCAGCTGAAGCTGTGGGCCCATCACCTAGGGAAATCATACAGACTGGGAAGAAAAGTAAGAAGGCCGTTTAGAAGGAAGCCTTGAGGGGTGCCAGCTTCTCAGGAGACAAAAGAAAGATGCGCTGGAGCAACAAGCAGGACAAGAAAAGAAAATATTGTGCCATAAAAATCAAGAGATGTGACAAATATTTAAAGACATTTAAAAATGTTTTAGAAGAGAATGATCAGCAGTGTCAGATGCAACCAAGAGATCAAGAAAGATAAAAACCTAAACATATCTATTGGATCTAGTAACAGCTAAAAACAAGTTGAAGAATATTTGCAGAAGTGATAACATTTGGAAAACAAGTGGAGCCAGTTTATTTGAGAAGTTTGGCTGTGGCAGAGGAGAGAAAGGGGGGATGGCAGCTAAAACAAAATGCAAGACTAAGGGAATTCTGTGTTTTTGTGTCTTTTTTTTTTTAAATGTGAGAAGCCATTGGAGAAATTAAAAGTGTGGATCCAAGGAAGAATTTGAAAGAAATCGCGACTGGTGGAGGTTTTAGTAGAGTCGTATCAGAGAGCAGCCAGTGACATGGTCAGAAAAAAAACACTTGTTCCCACAGATTTGATGTTGGAGTTGGGAACTGCCTACCTAGAAGAGCACAATGCAATTTAATTATTAGAGAAGTAGATAGAGTATTATTTAAAAGATATTTTTAGGGAAGCCTTGGTTTTATCTCTGAGTTAGATGATTTTCTGAAATTCCCTTTATTCCTATCCTGTGCTTAGGAGGATTCATGGAAGCCCCTGCCTTGTCTCTCTAAGATAAGCTGAGAACCAAAGATTGTTTCTGTTAACAGTGTTTTCCAGTTCACTAAATCTGTCTTCTTTAACCTGGCTTTTCTATATTTACTATCTCTCTGTGGGTTCTTCTTCAGATTCACTTTTTGTTTTTATTGTATTTTTATTATCTCCTGTTCTTGCCATATGGACTGTATTCTTCTTTTAAATTCTCTTTTAACACACTTATTTTAAGATGTTTTATATATTTTTTAGTTATATGTAGTTCTTCAAAGTTCGTGAATTCTTCCTTTCATATATCTACTTCCAATTTTCATTGGCAGCTTGTTTTCTGGCATACTTAATAATTTTTGACTGTGAGTTTATCTTCAGTAGAAGTTGTATCTGTGTGAATCTCAAAGGCCCTGAATTTGGGGGAATTGGGGCCAGTTTTGTGTTTGATTTGCTGTGGTCTTATAGATTTCACTAGTTTGGGACTTATCTTAATGTCATTTTTTTCTATGCAGGGTTTCCGAGCTTCTTGGGAAGTGCTAATTCAGACCTCACACCCACACGTGCAACACATCTAACCCATAAAACATAACGAAAGTAAAAGTACCTACAAGTCTATAAGAAAACTCAGACAACCCAATTAAAAATAGGTGGATAAAGATTTAAATACATCCTTCATAAAAGAGAAATTACCAACAAGTGGCAGAAAGACACTGGCCGAGGGGAAGCCCAGTCATCTGGATAAATCCAATAATAGTGTAGCCAGGAGAAAGGTTTTTCTGTCTTTTCAAGGCTCTGTTGGCCTCATTTACATAACTTACACATTTCATGTAACTTACTAGTATTTATTAAACCCAAGGCCCACTCACGTGTTAATCATTAATCTCCATTTTTCACGATCACCCAAGTGTAGGTTCCCATTGTGCCCCAGTGGACTGAGTCCAGGCCTGGCCTGAGGAACTGTTTCTCAGGGTTCCAGGGAAAGCTCCAGGGCCTGCAGAGATGAATAGGGAGGAGGGGCTGGGGTGAAGGGAGGCGGTGGCCGGGGCTACCATTTATGGAACATTCACTACGTGCCAGTACAGTGCTAAACATTTTAAGTGGTTTACCTCATTTAGTTCTTGCAACATCCTCACAGATGAGGAAATTGTGAGATTAATTAAGTAACAGGAATTCTGCTACCAGGCCTTGGGCTGTTAACCTCGGAGCTGCCTCTGTCATAACTGCCTCTTAACAGCGGCTTTCTCACTATCCCATATGGCCGGAGGGGGGGGACACACTTTCCCAGCCTCGCGGCTGATCCCAGAATCACCACAAGTTTCTTTGCCTTGTCTGCTTCCTGACCCACCTGACGCTTTGGCTTTTTCTTGGCTCTAAGGTCCAGGAGGGTGCAAAGCACAGACTAGAGAACGCTGCCTGCACAGTAGAAAGATGGGGAATGATATCCCCTTGTCCTCACTTCTCCTCATGCGTGGATGCCCATATAAGACTCCGTGACCTTGTGACAGTCTCTTGCTGTGGTGGGAGTGGGATGGATGGGGAATCTGTCATCCTGGGACTGGTACACCTCACACTTACTGACTAGTGCTGGTTAAATGGAGATACAGGCATACTTAATGTGCTTAGGTGTATTTTAGCATTTAGCATTATATAAAAAGAATAATTCAGACTTCTGAGTTTTTTCATGTATGCTTTCAGTTTCTTCTCACTTTGCCAGGTAGTATTTCTGTCAGTTGGAGTATGTCACAGAAACAGATAATATGTGCTTTTCATAAACATTTTCATTCATTTTACCAAATATAAAGTCAGTCTCTCTTTATCAAGGAAACTAATCTCATACTGAACTAAGAAAAATTGGTTTTGCTTATGTTTTGCAGACTTTGACTAATGACATGAGTACAGATGATGAGAATGAATATGTAGAAGAAAAGGAAAGCTACATCTGTGCAGTGTGTCTGGATGTTTATTTCAACCCCTACATGTGTTACCCCTGCCACCACATCTTCTGTGAGCCCTGCTTACGGACCCTTGCCAAAGACAATCCTGCGAGCACTCCCTGCCCACTGTGTCGGACAATTATTTCCAGAGTCTTCTTCCAGACAGGTAACTTTCCCCCTTCATTAACATGATTGCCTGATTATTCTGACTACCTTTTTGTTCCAGGTCTAAAGGTATTTTATAAATTATTATGGGAAAGATATTTAAAACCATATATACTGTAACATAATTTGTTACTCTCCAGTTTATAAAACAAGCACTGTTTTATAAACTCGTAGAGCTGTGTTAAAATCATGGAGTCATAGGCAAGAAGAGGATCCTATCTCTGACCCCTTACTCTATGCTCAGGTCTTTTCTAAAACACTGTAAGTAGTTGCTCTTCAGTCTTTACTTGGACTCCTGCAGTGTCAAGGACATTCCACTGAAATCTGAAGCAGCCTGTTCGTTGTCTCTCCCTCCTGTCTGCCTTCCGCTGCTGCTCGTTCTTTGGCTCTTGTTATTTTGTCCAGAGTCTCAGACAGTACATCTCAGAGAAATATCTCCCCCCACACCCCAAATCTCCTCAACCTTCTTATTGCTCTTTAGGTTTTTCTTCTTGAATGAGAAGAAGGTAAAATTGGAGCCAGGCTTTGTTTATCTGATTATCATGCAAAGATGGAGTATAACACGGTATTTAAAACATATTAATGGAGAGAGAAAAAGCTCATGAATGTGGGACATAGAGAACTGCTGGAAAAAAGGGGAAGAATGGTGGAGGTGAGCAGAGCTAATATGTACTGAGTGCACGGCCATGTGCTCAGTGTTAAAGGGAAAAATTTCCACCTCCACGCTCTCGCCTCAACCACAGAGGATTTAATGGGGATCCAAGTACATGCTTTATTAATAGTAAACTGAAGAAAACATATGGCACATTTTCCTCCCCTAAAAGAAAATCCAAGGACCCACCCGCGAGGGAGAGTCAGATTATGAAGCTAAGCTCTGAGTACCCTAACAACCCCCCACATGGAGACTCGCAAGCCCCGTGTAAGGCCCAGTGATCAAATAATGAGAAAGGAAAGAGACGCCTCTTGGATCTGCCCAGTGCATGCAGACTGGAGCACAGAATCGCTGAACAGAGCTTAGACAGACCTGGAGACAGAGACAAAAGGACGTGTGAAGCATAGTGACTGTACCCAGTAGAGAAGTATGGTTAGGAACACCCCGCTCATCAGTCTCTCCAGGCAGGCTGCTCCCCGTTTCGTTGGGAAGGACAAGGAAGGGATGGAGAGAGCGAAGGAAGCAGCTCCACGAGAGGGCAGGAGCTGACGGGGATTCCTCATTTCTGGTTTATGTTGAAGTGGGAGAAAGGGATTCTTTCCTAATACTGGGTCCCTTGCTGGGTTCTTTGGCGTGAAAAAAGTAGAGGCCCTGTGGCACCTCTTTCTCAACATTATCTCTGGCTACCTATGCAAGGAAGCATTTACTAGAAGCCTGTCTTAATAGGAGGCATCTAGACTATGTACACAGTGATTTAGACAGATGTTGTCCCTGCCTCCCATGATCTAATTTAACACTGATAGATATTTTAAAATTGTTTTCCTTAACATCGTGAAGCAGTAATGACTCAAGCCTCTCTTGATTCATTTATCAAAACAACAATGCGATATTTTCCTTAATTTTCAAAATCGGTTCTTCTAAAATAAATCATATTGGGAATACATATTCTGCTGGAATAAACTTGTGTACGGTAATTTAAAGTATGTACTGTAATTTAATTTAGAAGCTGACAATAATAATGAGACTGTACTTCTTAAATATTTATACCCTACCTCAAAATGATTTGAGATGTTTTTAAAGATATAGTCAACAGAATAGCAGGACAAGGGAATTTATTAATTGAAATGGAATATAAAGACCAGGTGAGGGTGGATGGGCTGATAAATAAGCCTTATAGCCTACATTGTAACTATAATCAAATAAACTATTTGGTTTTAAATATTCTGGCTGCCTAAGGAAAAATAAAAGTAAGTACACAGTTAAATGGTTTTCATGATTCATGGAAAGAAACATAGCACTTCCTAAAGGTAAGCAAAAGTTTTTCTGGCACTTTAAAAGGAGTTTTCACATGATTTCTCCTCTAAGGTGTATTAGAAAGCCCATTACTGCACTTGCTCTGAGGATTTCTAAGGACATTGCCTGCTCAGTATCCTCAGGCTTTGCATCTACAGATTCAGCCAGCCCTGATCACTCCTGGGCCTCATGTGGTTGTACTCTAGCCGTTCTGTCGCTGCCCCGAACACATCATTCCCCCTATTCTGTGTGCTGTATATTCCCACCCTTTAGTCTGCAGCCTTGAGAGCAGGAACTGTATGTCTCACTCACTGTCGCGTCTGGCACAGCTCACGTGTCCTGTGTATAGGTAAATCATAGTTGCCTCAAATGTGAATTTGGGAGAATTACATTTGGTTCAATTTAAAGGAAAATCAACTCTACTTTTGTTTTCACTGTCTTAAAGAGACCTGAATATATTGCCAAAATACTACAATTGTTTTTATGTTCTTGCCATTTTACTCACATTAATGTTTAAAAATACTATTTTCGTTTGCTTTGTCCTAGAGCTGAACAATGCCACAAAAACATTCTTCACTAAAGAATATTTGAAAATAAAGCAGAGCTTTCAGAAGTCCAGCTCTGCAAAGTGGCCCCTACCGAGCTGCAAAAAGAAAGCTTTCCATCTGTTTGGAGGTAAGGTAATTTATTCAAAAAGGAAAAAAAGTCTGCTGACTTTCTCCAAGCTCTCTTTTTAAAGCTATTTCCTTCCTGCCTTAGAAATGTTAGCAGAAATATATTTCTGAATTGATCTGTTTTAAGGAAGGATTTTGCTGAAAGCTACAGGCGTACAATGAAGAAAATGGAGACTGTGCAACAAGAGCAATATTTGGGAGAAACTCGGGATTAAGTTTGCTTTGCCTTGCTGTCAGTAATGTTTAACGTGTAGATAATGAAATGCATCTCCAAAGTAACAGGTTTGTCTATTTAGTTTTAGTATTTTTACAGTTGTCCCACAAGATGAGAACAAGTAGGAAGTGAGTGGCAGAGCCGTGGTGTAGAGAGTCACAGAGGCATACAGAGGACTGGGAATGCCAACTTCTGTGTTCAGGTCTCACTAGCTGCGTGACCTCAGGGATGTCATCAAAACCCCTTCTTTCGTTTCTGTCTTCTGATCTGTAAAACGGGAATAATTATATCTGCCTTGCCTAATTAATAGAGTTGTTTTAAGGATCAAATAAACTAATGGGAAAGTATTGTAAAGTATAACTAAATATACTATATAGACAGATGTAAGGAATTATCAAAATCAGGGCAAGGCAACCTCTAATACCTTTTGCACCTTTGGACTTTGCTACTGTATAATGATGCTCATACCATTTGGACATAGAATGTAATTTCACCTTAGAGAAAGCCTTGGTATGTCAGAGCATGAACTACTGTGCAGTTCTAGTAATTTGCCCCTTGAGATACCGCGGGGTCTGGTTGGAAAGGTTTAGATCTGAGATACAGGGAACTGTGATCTTCAGGGAATTGGGGACTTCTATAAAGAAGATGGATAGTATCAGCGCAGCAAGGACACAGACCAAAAGGAGAAAGAAACAGCCGCATGCTTGAGGTAAAGAAATAAACTGATTTACAAGATCCCTGAGGTTTAAAGGCAGTAGTTTAAGGACAAATAAAACTTTATACAGTAGTTTGAATGAAGAAGTAGTTTAAGGACATTATATAAGCACATATTTTTTAAAAGAGACAGTTTTATGTCTTTCAGTCTAATATGTATTCTTTTTCCCCTTTTTTCTTGGTATACTTTCTAAGCTAGGATTTCTGTTTGATTTTTAATAGAAACAGTGATATCAGCATCCCTGATTTGAAAAGGAATACTTTTAATATTTATCATTTTCTAGAACTGTTGCTGTGTTTTTGTAGATACCCTTAATCAGGTTTTAAGAAAGCTCTATTTGTTCCCAGTTTGCTAATAGTTTTTTCTTGAGTGAATTTTTAATTTTGTGAAAATTTTCCAGCATTTCTTGAAATGATCGTAGTGGTTTCCCTTCATGATTGTGATCTGTTTTCTAATATTACAGCGCTGCTGTATTTCTGGGATAAGCTCAACTTGATCATTTCTGTGACTGCTGGATTTGGTTTGCCAGTATTTTGTTTGGAGATTTTTACATCTGTATTTATTAGTACAGATTTATTCCGTGTTAGTACTGTATTTATTCCATGTTTTTTTCACATTCTGCTTTCTCAACATCTTCTTGAGTCAGTTTTTATAACTTATCTTTTTGCTAGGAATTTGTTCATTTTTTCTGTTTTAAAATTTGTTGATAAAAAGTTTTTTATATCTTTTAACCTCTCCTGTATTTATAGTCATAGTCTTTGTATTCTGAATATTATTCACTCATGCCGTTTTTTCCCTGATCTTGCTAGACATTTGTCAGTTTTATTATTCTTTTTAAATAACCAGTTTTTGAAATAACTCTGTTGTATCTTTTTCTCTGTTTCATAATTCCTGCTCTTCATTAAATCCTTACTACTATTCTTGTTGGATTTATTCTGTCCCTTTTATACGATATTAAGGTGGCTTTCTAGAACATTAATTTTCATCTTTTTAACTTTTTAAAAGACTATTATTTAAAGCCATATATTTTCCTCTCAGTAATCTGATATATTACATGCAGTATTTTTGTTATTCTTCATTTCTAATTATTTTGCATAAGAAATTAGCTACATTTAATTAGATATTGATTGAATCATCCTCATTAAAAATAAAAAGGTATAAAATCGGGATTGTACTCCGTAGTTATAAAGCATGACTCCAGATACCACGCCATCCACGCCATGGTAATTGTTTCCCTAAGCGAGCTTCTTTTCAGCTGAGGTTTCTAAGGTTGGTGGAAGGAAGTAGGTGGGCAGGGGGATCTTATAGGAAAGAATAGACATCCCCATATATGCCTTTGGCTCCACACAATTAGCATTCTTTCTATAAAACCAGAACATTCTGACATGGTTTTAGATTTTCTAGCCAAGGAAGCTCATGTAAACTCTTCTCGAATCCATCCAGCCATTGAACTAGCTCACACTTATGTCAAATAGACCCATTTCTTCTCACCTACCAAGTAGTCTCTTGAAAATAGAGTAAGCAGACATGTTTTAATTTTTTTCTTCTTAAAAATACATATGTATGTACTTATACATACAATGGGTAGTGTGAAAAGGAATAGGAATGTTCTAGGTAAATGTGAGCTGGCACTTTACATCTCTTCTCAGGTGCTAGTGCACTGACAGCTCTGTTGGTCTCAGCTCTTTCCTCTGAAATATTTAACGTTTCCAGGCATTGCATCTCAGTTATCGGTATCATTGATGTATTTCCAGCCATGTTAGCTGGTTCCCTAAAAATCTTACATAAGTATATAAATATAAGAATATAATATTAACATGTTCATATATATACATATATATATACATATATATACACACATATATATACATATATATATACATATACATATGTGTGTGTATATATATATATATATATATATATATATAAAAAGCGTTCAAGCTAGCAGATTTTACTAAGATCTTTTTGCCAAAAAAATAGTTCCACGCTGTTGAATTCTTTTCTAAATATACTCAAGTCAAAGAAATGGGAGGAAAAAAGTCATGATTTAATATTCCATGCACTAAAACATTCAGCTAAAATGCCGACATCTGAGATATATTTACGACAAATCCATCCATTTCTTGTAAAAGCCTGGGGAATTGTTCTATTTGATCATTAATTTGCCTGAAGGTGTTAGATTGATTCTGCAAGTTTAAACGTGCTCAGTATAAATGAAGGAATGTCCTCATGGAAAAGAATAGAAAACAAAACAGCATATGCTCAAACAGCAGGAGTTTGAGTATAACCCGGAAATCTGCCTTCCCAGAAAGTTCGAGGTAAGTCAGATTTTCAAATGTGCCCTAGACTTGGTGTGCTGCACGTTAGCAGGAAGTGCACTAACCTTTACACTTCTTTTGAAACGAGCAGTTGTGTTCACAGATAATTTTTTAAAAGGGTCTTTTCCTTTCTATTTGTTTTCCAGTAGCAGAATCAGGCCCTGTTTTTGCTATAGGGTTTACTTATGAGTTTTACATTTATTTCAGAAACCAACCCAGTAATAAGCCCTGTGTTATCATAAACTACGTTAAAAACAAGAGACACATGCAACTCCACCAAAATGTAAAATCATAGATTCTAAAGAGTTAGAAAGAATATATAATGTCACGTTTCCAACCAATACAAGAACAGCCTGAACAATCATATTCAGAGATAGATTTCTGGACTCCGCTTATACATGCAAATGACAGGGAGCTCACCACCTGACAAAGTCAGCGTGTCCATTTCAACAACTCTATCAGACAAATTTTTATGTTGAGTGAGCTCTATCTTCTGTTTCCTTTTCTTGATTCATGTCTGTTTTAATCTTCCTACACATTGACTGACTGTTCTTTAAATACATGAAGACACATTTGATGTTCTCTACAAATCTTTATTCCACACTCTGAATAGCCCACATTCCTTCAGCTGTTCCTCATAGAGCCTGGTTTCTATCTGGGCCCTGGCTCTCTGTGTCAGAGAGCCTGACAGGACTGGAATAGTTCCATTTCTTTTCACCCATGTTAGTCTGGTGTTGGGTCACTGAATCCATGGTCTCTAAGGCTACATAGTTCAATCGAGCAATGGACTCAATCAAAACACTTTTGCTTTTATATTAAGTTCATGATCCAAATGAATTATTATACAAATTGTGTATTTTGTTCAAATATCACCATTTCATAACTTATTTTTTAAATTACCATCAGTTTCATTCTCTCTCTTTCCCTCTTTCCTTCCCCTCCCCCTTTTCTCTCACACATACAGAAACCATTTTCATCCCTTTCATTGTTTCTTATGTGTAGAAGTTGCTTTTTAATTCCATATGTAATTGGATGTTGGTAAGAAATGCTAATAAAAATATTTTTATTAATGTATAGCTGACATACAATATTGGTTTCATTTGTACAACATAACGATTCTACATTTATATACTTTAAAATGTGATCACAGTAAGTCCAGTCACTGTACAAAGTTATTATTGACTATATTGTACATTATATCCCCATGACGTACTCATTTTATAATTGGAAGTCTGTACCTCTTATTCCCCTTGACCCTTTTCACCCATCCCCTCACCTTCCTCTTCTGTGGCAGCCATCAGTTGGTTTTCTGTGTCTATGAATCTGTTTTAGTTCATTTGTTTTGTTAGGTTCCACATACAAATGAAATCATATGGCATTTGTCTTTCTCTGTTTGACTTATTTCACTTAGCATAAGGCCATCTGGGTCCACTTGTGTTGCTGCAAATAGCAAGATTTCATTTTTTTAAAGCTGAATAATATTCCACTGTATACTTATACCACATCTTCCTTATCTGTTCATCTGTTGATGGACACCTAGGTTATTTCCAAAATTGGCTATTGTAAACAATGCTGCAAAGAATGTAGGGGAACATATCTTTTCCAATTAGTGTTTTCATTTTCTTCAGATAAATACCCAGAAGTGGAATTGCTAGCTTTCTGGTAATTGTATTTTTAATTTTTTGAGGAACCTCCATACTGTTTTCCACAGTGGCCGCACCAACTTACAATCCCACCACCAGAGTACCAGCGTC